ACCCTTCTTCCAAAGGTCCAACAGCAAACTGAGGTATGATACCTCCAATGTTCACTCAGGAACTCACTCAGGAACTTACTGAGCACTGGGGTTATGGGTGAGCCATCTTAGAAATAAGACCAAAATGCTTTCACCCTAAAACTAAGGCCTAAGATTTCTCCTTTTAGGAAGAGGCCATTAGTTACTGAAACCAGTCAGTCCAGATTCCAGAAACCAGGAAGTGTAAAGGTACAGAGTCACAAGGTAGTCGCAAGGTAATGACTGCCAGACTATGGAATGTCCTCTCCCTGGTTTCCAGGGTAACTGACCACAGAAATGTCCCCACCTGAGGGCAGCCAATGAGAAATGGTGGCGGGTAACCACTCCCTTAGAAGCGAGATTAAGCCATGATTTCTAGAAAGCCCCTAGAAGTGAGCCAGTCAGAATTGTACCCATACTAGCACCCCTAAATGATGTAACCTTGTGGTTTTTGCCTTTAAAAACTGAGCTTGCAAGAGGTGGGCACTTCCTCCAGCCTCCACTGCGTTGGATCTGTTGGAAGAAGTCCCTGCCTCGGCTTGTATATCCAGAATTAAACCTTGCTTTTGCATTCCAGCATGCTTGTCTTTGGTGGTCTCTCTGGGGGTTGCAATCTGGGCACAACAATGGGCAGGGGTGTGGATGGTCTTAAAGTAGCCACACCAGAATGTCTACACCCAGCATGGATGAGGACTTCTTCACGGTGGCACAAATGGAGCCCCCTTCCTAATCCTTCTTCCTCCCTATATAATTCTAGCCCCTCCCCCGAGTCCCTGTGCAAGTAGAGTAGAACTGGATACACCTGGTTGAGAGGCATGGCTGAATACTTCTTCTGTGAAGGAATGCCAACAGTCAACAAGCCCAGCTGCGGGGAGCATTTGCAGGCAGGCACAGCTGAACTCATACAGATGGTGGCGGTTTAGCTCAGAGGACAGTCCTGTCCAATACCGCCTTTCAGATTTCAGATGCTCCTACACAAATGGTGGGAATTCATGTCAGCCAGGACGCTTAGCTGTCAGGGAGTCTAAAACGCATGGCTGTTAGCTTTCCAGCCTCTGCTATTTGAACAGACACACTGGAGACAGAGCTAAATGAAACAGCCTGGCCTGTCTGCTGCAAACCACAGGGCATACTCCCACAAGCAAAGGACTCTGGGATTCACATTCCTTAAGCTGTGTCTTCTTCAGCCCGCCATCACCGCAAGGGATGATGCCTCATTTGTCAATCGGACCTGGCCTTTTGTTTCTTCCCCCCCCACACACACACCATTTAAAACATTTTATTAAATTTTTTTTCATATAATACATCTTAATCATATTCTTTCCCTTCTGCAAGGTGTCCCAGATCACCCCCCATCTCCATACCCACCCAACCTCACGTTCATTCTCTTGAAAAGGAAGGAAGGGAGGAAGGGAGGGAGGAAGGAAGGAAGGAAGGAAGGGAGGGAGGGAGGGAGGGAGGGAAGGGAGGGAGGGAGGAAGGAAGGGAGGAAGGGAGAAAGGAAGGAACAAAGAGAAAACCAGCAAGACAGAAAATACCAAGTTAAAGCAAAAGGCACACACAAAAAGCCGTGGAGTCTGTTTCATGTCTGCCGTCTACCGGGCACGGGACCTGCCCTGGAGTGTGCTCACATTCTTACTGAGTTTGAGACCTGTGTGAATGAGAATCAACCAGAAGCTTTATTAATTTCTGTTATCGCATCTGGTCAGCTTTGACGAACTTCCTCGTTCCTGTTTCAGGTACTGGTGACTAAAGAAAACCCAGTTGTCTTCGAGGCTTTAGACTACGGAGTGACAGAGGACACACCGAATGGCGTCCAAGTTTCACTGAAAAGCAAATCAGGAGAGGAACCGAGTTCTACAACTCCTGCGTCCCACGTGGTGGAATGAGACAGTCAGTTCATGCAAAGTTGTCCTGATCTGTACACATGTGCACTTGAGCACACGCAGACAAGGACACACACACACACACACACACACACACACACACACACAAGAGCACTTGCATAAATTTTTTTTTTTTTTTAATGGAAGAACCAGACCTTGAAAGACTCCATCTTGCCAGTCTGGAAAGGCTACATCCTTAGGCTAACACTGCAGTGGCCCTTGATCCCTGCTCCTGGGTAATCCATGGAATAGGGAGGCTGGTCCAGCCAGCTGGATGCATGGAATTGTCTTACTCAACAGTGAATCCTGGATTTCAAACTCTTTTCAGGTGTTATAAATTGTCACTTGTTTAAGGGACAGTTAGAACTGCTGTTTCCATTTCAGCAGGGAGCGTGAGGACTGGTGGTTTGCACGGTGTGACAAAAACGGGGAGGAGCGCCCCCCCCACTCCCCCTACACCCCCCCACCCCCCCCCCACCCCCCCCCACCCCCCCACCCCACCCCGCCGCTAAAAGCTCTGTGAGGAAAACAGAATGCTAAGGGAAGGAGTTGATCATTAAACGCCAGGCCAGAGAAGGGAATGCAGGAATGTGACATGCTGGTTAGTGAACCTGCTCCACAGCCAGCCTCTGGGTTTGAGTCAGCCGGCACCCTAAAGCTCAGCAGTTCGTTTTTTTGCAGGCCTCAGCTTTCCCGTCTGGAAGGCGGAGCCAGACATCACCACCCTCGCAGGGCTGCTGTGGAATCAGCCGTGCCTGGATATAGGAAGTGGATAAGTCAGTGCGGCCAGGCTCTCTTCCACCTGCCGAGAGGCAGAGACAGCAACACCTTTCCGGAAAAATCACAACCCCATGTTACTGTCAAAGCTGCTGTTTTTAGGGTTTAGGAAATTGAGGGCCCCATAGCTACCTACACAAAAAAGCACCCTGGCCTCTGGGTGGAACCTGGGTGCCATGGCATTGTGTTCACTCTCAGGGGTGCCCTCAACCTTCACCTTCAGAGTGTGGAGCTGACCTTGAAGACCAGCAGCAAACAAGGGCAACAGTATGATTTGGAGTTAAAGTAGGAGAGGTAAAAAATTACCGCCCCTCCCCCGTCCCCCCACTACCCTCCCCCTCCCCCGTCCCCCCACTACCCTCCCCCCCACACCAGCAGCTTCTGTCTAGTGGTGATCTGCAACGTTTTCTTTTATAATTAAGGTTATAATTAAAACTAAACAAGTATTTTTTAAGAGAAGGAAAGGTCACTTCAGACTTGACAGCTTCTCAGACCGGAAGTCCGTTTCCTGAACCGAATGCAACCCCACATTCGCAGATAGAAACCTGACAACCTTGGGAGTTTTGATGATGACTGCGGACCAACACTAGCTGATCGCTCTGCTCTGAAACATACAGCTCGATCTTTAGGAAGACAGGCAACAAAAGGAGAATAAGAATTACTTCAAACTAAAACCAGCACCGCAAAACACTGAGTGCAGATATGAGCAGCTGCACTCTGAAGAGGAAATCCTGAAGAGCCAATAACAACCATCAATAACAAGCATCAAAAAGACAGACTGTTTAGCTATGTTGTAGAAACACATAAATCTATTAGGCTTTATGGACCAGCTATGGACAACCTGAAGATGAAAACAAGAAAAACAGTCTTGTTAAAAATGACGCAAAAATAATAAAACACTGAAAGAAATGCGAAGCTTGTACATTGAAAATGGCAAAGCAGGGGCTGGAGAGATGATGGTTCAGCAGGTCAGAGGACTGATGCTCTTTTGGAGAACCCAAATTCAGTTCCCAGCATCCATACAGGGCAGTTTACAAACGCCAGTAACCTCAGCTTCAGGGAACGTGATGCCCTCTTCTGGCCTCCCCAGGTATCTGCACTCATATGTGCAAACATCCACCTTGCATACATATATACATTATTAAAAATAAAAATAGAGCCTTTCTAAAAGAAAATGACCAAATATTACTGCCCCCCCAATAGAAAGGCAGGACAAGATGGCATCACAATCTGATCCAGTGGTGTTGCCACTGGTGAGGAGCCCATGCTCTGCTAAAGCCCCTCCCGCACGCAATAATAACTCCCTGGGTCATTAAGAAAAACAGCAAATAAAAAACTAGAAGGGGGAGTCGGAATGAGGGAGGCACTTAGCAGGAATGGAAGCAGAGAACAGAGGGTAACAGGTGTGAGTATGATAAAAACATACACATATGTGAACATGCCATGTGAAACCGATTATGTATAATCAACTTATACATAAAGCAAATTATCTTTTTAAGGTGCGTTAAAAAGTGCAGGAAGAGGGCCGGGTGGTGGTGGCGCACGCCTTTAATCCCAGCACTCGGGAGGCAGAGCCAGGCGGATCTCTGTGAGTTCGAGGCCAGCCTGGGCTACCAAGTGAGTTCCAGGAAAGGCGCAAAGCTACACAGAGAAACCCTGTCTCGAAAAACCAAAAAAAAAAAAAAAAAAAAAGTTTAAAAAGTGCAGGAAGAGCTGCCTAAAAGCGACCTCTGCCGCAAATTCACGTAGCACAGCACAGAGAGAGACAGCTCTGTTTGAGAGAAAGAGGGGGAATTATGCTCAGGCAATGGGCTTAGAACTCAGGCCCGTCAAGCCCAGGGCCCAGTCCACATCAGACGGGAAGAGGAAGGTAGGCACAGGTGATTGCCTTAGCGCTTATAGAGGTGGGCTCTCTGCGGTGAAACCAGTTCTGGGGCCAGGGACTATGAGGCTTCTGCACCTCCCCTGGAGCCAAGCAGAGGCTTGTGGGGATGGACGACGCTTCGAAGGCACCAGAGCAGGTCATCCTGTGCAGCAATTCCAACCACTGACGTGTGAGCACCCTGGACTTGGGAAGACCTCTAGTGTGAAGACAGGGCAATGCAGGAACAGCGGACTGGTGGCCAATCTGGGCTTAGAGCGCCATCTACTGCTGAAGCCGCAGCAGTGACCACCACCTTAGAGGAAAAACCCCAAAGCGGCAGGAGCCTGGCGACCAAAGAGGAGACGCTATCAAACCTTCAACACCCAGGGTCATTGTTACGCCAACAAACACAAACTTTAAAGGAGTCATGACCTCAGCTAATGGACGCCCGAAACTGGCCACTAAGAAACTGACACCTGAAATCTCAGGCAGCAGTTTTTGTTGTTAAGATTCATTTATTTTATGAATGTTTTGTCTCCATGTACCTCTGCACACCAGAAGAGGGCATCAGATCCCACAGGACTACAGTTATAGACAGTTGTGAGCCACCATGTGGGTGCTGGGAATTGAACTCAGGACCTCTAGAAGAGCAGCCACTGCTGTTAAAGGTTGAGCCATCTCTCCACCCCCTCAGATAGAGAATGTACAGTAGCTGTTTTAAGGAATCTCAGCAAACTTCAAGGAAACCCCAAGCAACAATTCCATCCTCTATCAAAGCCACAGCAGGGAGATGGAAGAAACCTGAAATCTCTAAGATCCAGGTACTAAAAAAACGCTCAAATGAAATGGAAACCACGACAGATGCTGTCTTAGCTTCTCTCTGCCCTTGTCATAACAGAATGTCCTGACAGAGCGACTTAATGGAGAAGGGTTTATTCCTGCTCAGCAGTTCAAGGTACCACTGTCCCTTGTACACCATGGTGAGGAAGTCAAGGAGCTTGAAGCCTTTGGTCACACTGTATCAACAGTCAGGAAGGAGAGAGGGGTGAATGCTAGCGAATGATCGGCTGGTTTTCTCAGCTTTACACAGTTCAGGATCCCCTGACCACTCCCAGTCAAGCTATATGTCTTTCCACATCAGTTAAGACACTCAAGATAGTCCCTCACAAGCATGGCCAGGAGCCTGTCTCCCAGGTGATCCTAGATTCGGCCAAGTTGACAATAACACTTGTCATCGAAGAAGGTATCTGAAAAGAAAGAAAAGGCAGATTAAAAAAAAAAAAAAGGCCAGAGAGTTCAAAGGTAAACGTGTTTGGAGATGGAAGAGAAGAGATGGGTGTGTGTGAAATGAAATGGCCACACTCATATCACACACAGAAATAAGTCTTTAATTTGAAAGTAGAGAATGGGCCGAGGAAAGTCCTTGTACAATGACAAAGGAGTCAGTCAGCAAGAGGAATTACTGTAAATGTGTATGTAAAAACCCAATAACAGAGCACACAAACACAGATTAACATCGATCAACATGGGAGAGCTATATTAGATGGTAGCGTGTGGTACCATAACTCCACTTCAGCAATGGACAGATCACTCAGGTTGAAAACCATCAAATGGACGATTTTCGTTAAACCATGATGAAGTGATATTGTATTTGTGCTCTAACAAATAAAGCTTGCATGGGGATCAGAGGACAAAGCCAGCCACTATATTAAACATAGAGGTCAGGCAGTGGAAGCACACACCTTTAATCCTAGCATTTGGGAGGCAGAGATTCCTCCGGATCTCTGTAAGTTCAAGGCCACACTGGGCACAGAGCCAGGCATGGTGGTACAAGCCTTTAATCCTAGTACAGCACTAGTTAACCACAGAGGTCTGAAGGTCTATACAGACAAACAGGAAGTGACAGAGCTGGGCAGAAAGAGGAAGTGATGTAGCTGGGCAGAGAGAGGAAGTGAGATGGCAGGGCACAGGAAGGTATATAGGCATGAGTACACAGGAAGTAGCTCTCTTGGGCTGAGGATTTCCTAGCAGCAAGAATTTGTGGCTGGCTTGTTCTATTCCTCTGATCTTTCAGCTTTCACCCCAATATCTGGCTCTGAGTTTTTTATTGGTTATACCATTTAGCAATTTGTGTTACATCATGTCCTAGACATAACAGATCTCTACAAAACATTTCATCCAACAGCTGCCGAATACAGAGTCTTCTCATCGATGCTGTGACATTCTCCCAGCTAGATCATATAACAGACCACTAAACAGGTCTCAGCACAGTATTCAGAGTGAGATCATGTTGAATGTCTCTTGCAACCACAATGCAATACAACCAGAAACAAGAAAAGCTTTAGAAACCACACAAATGTCTCTTGCAACCACAATGCAATACAACCAGAAACAAGAAAAGCTTTAAAAACCACACAAAAGCTATGGAAATTATACAACACACACCTAAGCCAACTATTGCAGGAGATTCGTTCACACTGTCACTCCGAGACTGCCAATAAAGTTAAACTTTGACTTACAACAGGTTAATGAAGAAAATAAGAAGTCACAAAACATCTTCAAACGCATGACGTTGGAAAGACAGCACACCAATGCCTACATGAAGCAGCAGCAGGAGCCGTGCTGAGACACTGGACCAACCAGCATCTCCATTCCATAAGCAGCTCATAATCTCGAATAAATTACCATCTTGACACCTTAAGGACTTGAAAAATAAGAAGAATCAGATCCAAAATCAGAAGGAAGAAAATAACATCAGAGTGAAAATAAATGAAATGAAACAGTAACTAAAAACAAAAAAAAACCCAAAGATGAACAAAAACCAAGTCATTTTTTGAAAAGGTAAACAAAATTGATAAACTCACCCACATTAACAAAGGAAACAAAGACCACAAATAAAATCAGAGATGAAAACGGAAACATTACAACTGACATCAGAAATGCAAATGTGTGAATTTGCACACGTGGGAAAATGTATTGCTGTGATCCATGTAATAAAAAGCTGAACGGCCAGCTGGGCGGTGGTGGCGCACGCCTTTAATCCCAGCACTCGGGAGGCAGAGCCAGGCGGATCTCTGTGAGTTCGAGGCCGGCCTCAGCTACAGAGTGAGATCCAGGAAAGGCACAAAGCTACACAGAGAAACCCTGTCTCGAAAAACCAAAAAAAAAAAAAAAAAAAAAAAAAAAAAGCTGAACGGCCAATAGCTAGGCAGGAGGTATAGGCGAGACTTTGGGAGGCAGAGAGGACTATGGGAAGAAGAAAGGTAGAGTTGCCAGCCAGACATGGAAGAAATAACATGAGCAGTACGGAGAGATGAGGTAGCGAGCCGTGCGGCAGAATATAAATTAAAATAAGTGGGTTAAGTTATAAGAGCTGGTTGAGACAAGACTAAGCTAAAGGCTGAGCTTTAATATAAATTTCTGTGTAGTTATTTGGGAGCTGGCTGGTGGGACAGAGAAAGACTCGTTACATACAAGGGATCACTAAACAATTATTTGTCAACAAATAATTATTTGAAATTATTTGAAAACCTAGAAGAAATTGACAAATTCCCTGAACACATACACATTGCCATAACTGAATCTTTTTTTTTCTTTCCTTTTCTTTTTAATCTTTTTTTTAAAGACAGTCTCTCTATGTAACCCTAGCTGTCCTGGAATACACTCTGCAGACCAGACTGGCCTTGAACTCACAGGGATCCACCTGCCTCTGTCTCCAGAGTGCTGGGATCTTGTGTGCACTACCACACATGGCCACAGTTCAGTCATGAAGAAACAGAAAATGGGGACAAGCAGACCTGTTGGGAGCCATGCAGCCTGGTTTCAGACCAGTATATGACTGCTTGTCCAAAGGGTCTCCAGATGAGGCAAAAGCCCTTGGAGACAGTCTCACTCAGCAAGGACCAGTGGACATCACAGAATACTGCTGGGACCACATAGCCTGCATGCTCTCTTCCCTCTCATAATATTGATGATTCTCTTGGCAGATTTAGGGTCATTTTGTCAATCATGCATGGGACATATGGGAAAACCCCATTTTTTCTCTAGAATCTTCCCCTAAAATTCTTTGGGAGCTGATGCTCCTCAGGTTTCTTGTCTGGGGATGCCAGCTGTCACTTCGGACCCCAGGAGCTGTTCTGATTCAGTGCTGACAGGATCGGAGGCAGACACCCTATTTCTGTAAGTATGTTTTGAACAGGGATTGTTGTTTTTGAAAATGTGTGCCTCTGTCAATCACTTTTTAGTTTTGTAAAGACAGGATGTACCTGGCTCGATGTTTGGCCAAGCCATCAAATTGATAAGTGTTGTTTTGGTTTAAAGATGTTTAGATGTAAAAGTTGGAAAAAAACCATATTTGACATATTTGTTTTTGCTGAGGTTTACGTAGGAGGATGGGGAAAGCTTGTTTGTTAGTATAGAAAAACATGCTTGTTTTTGATGTATGCTTTGTTTTGATGCTTGTTTTTGATGTATAAATAAAGACGGCTAGAGCGACTGGGGCCGGCCACTTGTGTGAAACTCATCTGGTAGTCAGACACTTCATTTCTTCACACGGACGCCCCTTCCCCATCTCAGGACCTGAACCCAGGCTGCAGCAGGACCACGGCACAGACCAACGACGATGGAATAAACCAACGAGATTGAATAAAAAATAGATAATAAGCCGGGCGGTGGTGGCGCATGCCTTTAATCCCAGCACTCGGGGAGGCAGAGCCAGGCGGATCTCTGTGAGTTCGAGGCCAGCCTGGACTACCAAGTGAGTTCCAGGAAAGGCGCAAAGCTACACAGAGAAACCCTGTCTCGAAAAACCAAAAAAAAAAAAAAAAAAAAAAAAAAAGATAATAAAAAGCTTCTCAGTCACATAAACCTAGAACCACATGATGTCTGTTATCAGTAATCTTTTTGTGCCGCTCTAATGAGATGCCTGACATGGGCCATTTCTGAAGGAGAGGTTCGTCTGGCTCACGGTTCTGAAGGCTCAGCCTCTGAAACGGCGGAGTGTACGGCTGTATGCTGAGGACTGTCCTCCTGCTGCACCATCTCACCACCCAGCAACAACAGAAACGTGTGTGGGAGGAAGCGAGTGTCAGCATCTCCAACCAACGGGACACCACAGGCGAAGCTTCTCTTCCTTCTGTCCTGTCACGAGAACTACCAAAGGGGTAGTAAGAAAAATGTTATATCCCCAATGACCCAAGGGTTTCCCTTGTCCTCCCTCTCAGAGCTTCCATGACCCCCTGATAGGACAACCCGGAAGGCCCAGCCTTCACTCACCTAAACCATAGCAGCTTCCCTGTTGACTGCTACCGAATTTTTTTTTTCCAGAGCTGAGGACCGAACCCAGGGCCTAGCCAGTGCTCTACCACTGAGCTAAATCCCCAACCCCCGAATATTTTTAAAGGTGATGCCAATTCTTCATTTGTTTAAAAAAAAATGATGATGATGATGATGGGCATGGCGGAGCATCCTAAGGTGGCACATCCCTTTTCTCCCTGGCACATGGGAAGCAGAGGCAGGAAGATCTCACTGAGTCTGGGACCAGCCTGGTCTACACAGTAAGCTCCAGGGCAGCCAGGGATATGTAGTAAGACCCTGTCTAAAATTAAAAAGGGTGGTGCTTGGAGGAGAAGGAGGAAAGAATTTTTTTCCAAACTCACTTGATGAGGCCAACATTATCTTTGTATTAAGATTTTCTATTTTGAATTATATATATATATATATATATATATATATATATATTTATATATATATAGCATACAGAGCCAGGGGCATTGAATTCCCTTGCAGGTGGAGCTATAAGCGGTGGTGAGCCGCCTGATGCGCTGGGTACTAAACTCAGGTTGTCTGGGCAAGAGCAGTACACCTACTTTTAACCACTGAGCCATTTCTCTGCCCCCAGGCCAGCCTTGACCAAAAGACAGCTTCAGGCTGGAATTTCTAATAAACACCGAAACACAACTCTCCAACAAATACTAACATGCAAAACATCCAACAGGATGTTAAAAACATTCTCCACCACCATCCAGTGGGGTTCATCCCAAGGAGGGAAGGATGGCTCAACATAAGTCAACCAAGAAATGTGGTCAGTCACCATGTCCTAGTTACTATTATGACCAATGCAACGTGGGAGGAAAGGGTTTATTTGGTTTAGGCTGCCACGTCATAGTCCATCACTGAAGAAGTCAGGGCAGGAACCTGGAGGCAGGAGCTGATGCAGAGGCCATGGAGGGGTGCTGCTTCCCGGCTTGATCCTCATGGCTACCTCTGTCTGCTTTCTTGCAGAACCCAGGATCAGCAACAAGACAACAGAAAATAAATCAATGAATAAACAGCATCCCAAATGGAAATAATGAATGTACGTCGGTAGCACACGAGGCTACCACTGCTCAGGGATAGCACCACCACCAATCTCTAATTAAGAAATGCCCTACAGCCAGCTCTTCTCAACTGAGTTTCCCTCCTTTCAGATGACTCTAGCTGGTGACAAGTTGACATAAAGCAGGCCAGCACACACCCCAACAAAATGAAGCACAAAACCATCAGAGCATCCCAACACCCACAGAAAAAGTCCTTGATAGAATTCAAATCTCTTGACGATAAAAGGGGAGGAATGTCCTTTAACATGATAAAGTCCAGATCTAACAAGTCAGCATCATCCTGAATGGGAAGAAAGTGGAAATCTTTGTCTCCAGGTGATTGACCACGACAAGAATGCTGACTTATGCCACTTTTATTCCACACAGTGCTGGGAATCCCGGTCAGCAAGAAGGCAACAGAAAAAAAAAAAAAATGAATAAATAGCATCCAAAGTGGGAATAATGAACAAAAGTCAGTAGCACTTGAGGATACCATGGTGTTAAACATGCAAAACCCCACCCAAAGACGCCACCAAGAATCTTAGAACCTATAAATGAATTCAGCAAAGAGAGAGAACACAAAAGGAATATAAAAAAATCAGTACCATTGCAGCATGCCATTAGATAATTATCTGAAACAGAAGAAAGCAGTGCTGTTTGCAAGAACCAGAGAGAGACAGAGACAGAGAGACAGACGACAGACAGACCTGGAAATTAATTTAACTAAAGAGAAAACTGAATGAAAGTGATTGACGGGATACAAAGAAGTCGAACACCACCTGTGGGACTAGATAAACCAGTGTTAAGCTATCCATGCCACCTGAAGGGTTAGCAAATTTCATGCGATCCCTATTAAAATAACAATGTTGTTCTTTACAAAACTGAGAAACACAACGAGGAGGAATCCTCATTAAAACAACCTCAAATGGAAAGAAAGAAGTAAGAAGTGTAGCTAGAGTACTTGCTATGGCTCTAACAGCTCTGACCCCTAGGCAACTTTATTTATTAACATACAATTAAAATCACATTTCAGTACAAGTAAAATACCACCACAAAGAAGCATTAGACTCTTGGTGTCCAAACACACAGAAGCATCGCCCTCCATTTCCCTCTGGGAGTTTCACAGTTTCGGCTCCCTCATTTAGTCTGTAACATGCTTAGAGTCAATGTTGCACATGGTGAGAGACGAGGATCTAGTTTCTTCCCTCTGCATGTGGACGTCCAGTTTCCCCCAGCACCATTTACTGAGGACACAATCCTGTCCACAGTAAGTATTCCAGTGCCCACGTTAGTCAGTGCAACGCATACCTGAGATAAAACAGTTTTTTAAAAAATAACGGTTTATTTTGGCGGCGTCTGTCCATGACCAGTTGGTTCTATTGTCTTGGGCCTGTGGCAGCGTGCTACATTCCGGCAGAATGTGGGGTGGAGAAGGCCAGTTCAGCTATGAAAGAGTGAGAAAGGGCTAGGAGCCAAAAATGAACAACATTCTCTAGCAACTGGGAAATCTCCCAGTAGGTTCCATTTCTTAAAGTTTCTACCCCCTCCCTACAGCACCAGGGGCTGGGAATCCAGCCTTAGCACATGTGGCCTCTGGGGAACCTGACCCAAGCCATAGCGGTGGTTTGTCAAAGATCAGTTGACTGCGAATTCATGTGTTAACTTAGAGGTTTTGTGTTCCTTTGCATTCCTATTTCTGTTGGCATCGTGGAGTGTGCCAGTGTCCTGCTGTCTTGATTACTATAGCTTAGTAGTGTGCTTTGAGAAAGTACTCTCACACTGCACATCTGATACAGATCATTACCTAGAACACAGAAGGAACTTACATGGCTCTGTAGCAAGCAGTCTAAATTAAACAACAGGCAACAGGTCGAAATCGGCATTTCTCAAAAGGATGCCCACAAATTGCTGACAGGAATATGAAAAAAATGCATGGCATCATGAATCACTGGAGAACTGAAAACGAAAAGCACAACAGAGTATCACCTCCCTCCCTCTAGTTAGAGTAGCTATAATCGGAAGGTCACAGTGCTGTGAGGATGCAAAGACGGGGAAGCCTTAGATGTCATGGGTGGGATGCACACTACTTATAGAAAACAGTACAGGGGGTCCTTACATGAGGAACAAAGAACCACACGATCCAGCTCTCCCAACACAACAGAACAACCACACCGAGAGACCACGAGTTAGACAGACTCTCTGGCAGGCAGACGGACAGGGAGAAGGGCCATGGCTAGGTAATAAAGGTGGCGAATTTCCAAGATGTCTGGCTTCGACCTCACCCTCCTGACTTGAGACAAAAGGCTGGCAGCTTCTGTCTCCCACCAGCGGGTCCCTGCTGATGGACTGGCTCAACCAGTTTCAGGCAAGTCACACAACAGTTGTGGACCGATCAAATTGATCAATCCTACATGAGGGGAGGAAACCTCTTCAGAGGCTTTGAAACCCCCAGCCCTCATGAAGAGACTGATTTTGGGCTTCCCAGTCCCCCTGCTTTGCAGAGGCTCTTTTCCTTGTGTGTCTGCTGTATGTGTGTGTTTCCTCATCCCCAGCAAACGCCTTTCTTCCACTGCTGATTCTGTCTGGGTGCTTGGGACGTCTCTGCCACCACCTGTTGCTCTGCAGATTGCTCTCGCTTTTTCTTTCTTTAACTAGCAGAGAAAGCGAACCCCGAGACCCCCAGACTGTATCACTATGATCCAGTTCTCTAGGTATGAAGCATTTGCCCAAAAGAAACGATGTCCATAAATCAGAGACACCTGCATTCTCGTGCTTTTATTTATTCCTAATAGCCAAGAAATGGAAATTAAAAAAAAAAAACAAACTTCCTATCAACTGATGACAGGATAAAGTAAATGAGCCAGACATGCCAGTAGCTCTCTCTCTCTCTCTCTCTCTCTCTCTCTCTCTCTCTCTCTCTCTCTCTCACTCACTCACACACACACACACACACACACACACACACACACACACACACACACACACGGATGAAAATTTTCAATTTTTTTTTCTTTATTCTTAGACAATTTCCTGCTTACTTAGGATATCATGTATTTTGGTCATTTTCGCATACCCCTCCTGTGAAACTCTGAATGTAATTGGCCCCCATAATTTCATAGGGAGTGGCACTATTAGGAGGTGTGGCTTTGTTGGAGGAAGTGTGTCACTGTGGGGTGGGCTTTGAGGATTCCTATGCTCAGGATATTGCCCAGTATCTCAGTCGACCTCCTGTTGCCTGCAAACCAAGATGTAGCCAGCATCACATCTGCCTGCATGCTGCCATGCTCCCCGTCGTGATGATAATAGACTGCACCTCTGAACTGTAAGTGAGCCCCAACTAAATGTTAGCTTTATAAGAGTTGCCAAGGTCATGGTGTCTCTTCACAGCAATAGAAACCCCAACTAAGGCACCTCCCCATTATCCCTTCTCACCCCCCTCCCTCTCCTGCTGAACCTTTGCTTCTTCCCAAGTCTTCCTCCGACTCTCACATCTTTGTTTTGTTTTGGAGACCCACTGAGTTTAATTAGGGTCGCCTGCATGAGCAATTCCCTCCAAATTAATAGACCAATTCCATTTAATTTTTATTAATAATGCTCAAAGGTTTTTTTGGTAGCAATTAATAAATGATTTCAAAATGTATATGAAAATGTAAAAGAAAGCTAGACACAGTGGCACAGGCCTCTAGTCCTAGCTAATTAAGAAGCTGAGGCAGGAGCGTCGCATGTTCAGGGCCAGCCTGGGCTGCAAGATGAGTTGAAGGCCAGTCTCAACAACCGTGTGAGCTCCTGTCTCAA